TTGGCTCGACGAAGTATCGATCAGGGGCTTGGATAGTGCAGATAGTTAGGAAAGAATAGCATCGCCACCACACTTGATCCGCCCGTTCTTTCCTATGCCATTCAGCTTTTGGGAAAAAAATGGAAGTACGCTGAATCAGGGGAACTTTCACACTACTCTATTTAGTATTTTAACAAATAACTCATCAACTTCATGTTTAAGTCGTTTATGAGAACGAAAATAGCGTTCCTGTTGAAAGAACTGGTTGAGGATTGGTGTCAAAGTATCCAACACAAAAAACCAAAACACCATGAGATGGGTGCAGACGGTCTGCGTATCCGTCGCCGCGACTCTTTGCAGGGAACTTCGGCGTCCTGCCCCACTCTGCGTGCGTCATTACTGTAAAAGGCTCCCTAGAGGTACCATTAAGCAATACCGTATTCACTCATCATTTGTATTTGGTATTATGAGTGAATCGTCCCCAATCATTGTTGATATTGCAGACAATACTTATTGTAAATAAATAACAATTCACTGGCTGGTAGGTTATTCGAAGCTGTTACTGATTACAGTGAGTTGAGGAATCAATAAAGGCGGGGCGAGGCTTAGCCTATAACACCTTGAAGGCTGCTTAGAAGAGGCTCAGTCACACCTACACCTGATAAGAAGTCATTTCATCTACTTCATCCCAACAGGAGACGAACCTCATCCATCCAGTCTGAAATTCAAGCCTTCCCAAATCTTGCTGAAGGCGCTCAGTCTTTTGAATCGTTCCTCTCTAAAGTCGTCTGTATCAAAGTACATCAACCGGTATCACAACTTCAAGAGTAATTCCTAATTGTTTCAGGTCAACCAATGATACCAAGACGAATTTGTGAGTCACTGTGCAGTAGTGTAAGTTACTCGACTTTCTCTTTTTTTCTTCTCTAAAACATTACTTCAGAAAATAATTTTGGCATGAGCCATCCCTAATATTGCTGTAGCAGCATTGAAAGTCGAGTTGACTTGACAGTCCACTTTTACACTTTTAGCATCGGTACGAATTCGGGAACTATCCTGAAAGGAGGCTCTAACAGAATAAATGAAAAGACATATCTTACCACTGATAAAAAAGGCAGATTTGGGCTGATTTCTAAGNTTAGGCATAGGCAAAGCTGTTTTAAAGGAGTATTTGATTTGGGAGCTACAATAAATAAACGGCATACCAAGTTCCTAGTTCATCACTTTCTGACTGGCATTTGTGCTAAAGTTTGATTTTTCTCAAAGTCCTGTCCGTAGTGTACATGCCACAAATTGAGTGTCATGTGGACGTTTGTCGATAGAAGTACTGTAAATGCTTAAGGTGGGTCCTGTGAATGTTTACTCTATGTGAAAGGAGGCCTACCATTTATCCAAGAAACCTGCAGCATGTAGGCCATTTAGACAGTCAAATTAAAGGACTAGGGTTAAGGAGAGGAAAAATATAACTTGTTGCTACAGGCTGGAAGGTTTTTCTTTACTCCTTTTTCTACAGAAATGGTTGGAAAGCTGTTCTGGGTACGGTAGCGCATACTCACAAAGAATTATGTGATCAACTTTTCCTATGTTGGCGGGAAAAGCCGATAGTGAACGTTCAGTGCAATACTTCCTGTTTGCCCTTTGTTTACTATGAGTATTTTCTCAACCACTGGAAAAAATAAGAAGACGACGATATCGTTGTTTTTGTAGAATTCAATCAAAATGGGACACATTAATGGCTTACATCCGATTACGACTTTAGCGTTTTCGCAACGCAGAAAAGACATCAACGAACATCGGGTAGTGCCCATTCCCAAGCTCTAATCTTATCGGGATAAGCTGCAGAGCTGTCTAGTCAACACTACGCTTCTCATCTCCACGTTCGCTAAATAACATGAACTTCATAATTCAGTAAATCTTCACATGGCTAAGATAGCCAAACCAAGACCTGTGATGTTGGTTTCGGTGGNGCACTTATAGTCGCTGCACTGCCAAGACCCCCAAAATCCACCTGGGAAATTAATGTTATACCACAAATCACATCGTTCTTTCCCCTGATTTAAATAGAGTGCAGAGTTTCTGTCCGAAGTTTTTCGGTCACAGGTTTTTTATTTAATATAATATATTCCGACCAATGGAAGGGTAGTCGCTAGCTCCCAAAGGAAGACTGATTTCGTTGGAGCTTTGATTGTGTAGTTGACTGGGAGCCTGATTCCTGACATAAGGATTCACTAACCCATATAGAAAAGTTGAATTCGAGTTTCTTGCCTTTTTTAGGAAGACAATTACGTTTTGGAACTGAGTTTTTGATAGTTCATATACATCTAAGCTTTGAAAAGTGATACTTTAAAAATAAAAAATCTTAGTCTAGGATAACTTGATTTTGAGATACATTCCGTTACAAGGTCATTGCCTCAGATTTTACATAGGGAATCGATGAACAATTCCGGGTTGCAGTTAGGGATCTGCATTTGACTATGCGATTGCCTTCACCCTGTTTTGGGCCCTAAATACCTGGTCTCCGCTGATTCACTTGTATCACCTGTCGCCCCTTCGATCGTCGATTTACTCGGAGCGCGATCCAGTAACGTCCATCTATCCTTGTCGAGTCAGAGTGTATCAGGCTTCACTGATTATCAATGAAAATCATTGAATGAGTCTGCAGTGAGGCGGTTCGACCTGTCATCTCATCATGTGTGTGTGTGTGCTATCAACTTTGAGGGAAATAATTGCAACAATGATTTCGGTGGATGCTCGATTCCGAATGTTTTTTGAAACTTCATAGTAATAGTTAGTAGCAAACTGTGATGATAAAGGATCAGCATTGGACTTGAAATGAAAAAAGCTGTTACGAGTTGCCCGTACAACTCTAATCCTTCCTTTTCTTGGCGAACAAGAGAGCAATCCAAATCTTTTGCACTCTAGGCTGATCCTTGGATCAAGCTAACCCTCTGATTATGTACGTTTTTCTTGATAACAGACATAAGCATATATGAGACTGGAATAGCTCTCGTTGCAATGACGTATTCCAAGGTTCCCAAAGATGGAGGCCAACGACGTTCACGTCATTGCGAATATGTCCAGTGAGCCTGTACAGTCGCGTTCACGTCATTTCTACCTTGCGATGACGAATTTACGTCTGCGCATACGACCTGCCTTTAGAGTTCACAATGACGTTTTGCTGGAATGGAGAATGTTGTGCAGCGATTGCACAGAAATTACCGAAATAGAACAACGTCCAGTTATTTGCGCTCTTACGATTAGCAGCATTATAGCTTGGGCGCAACATTCAATTTTTTTTTTCTTTGGGAACGATTGAAAATCTTTGAAATCAAGGCCCAGACAGAGAAGGACTAGAGACCGTGAGAGTCTCTGTGAGTCTCCTTAAGAGTTATATTTACCGCTTAACGACGTCAATCAAGTAGTATGCCATTCCCTCCGGTTCTCTTGTAACGTCTGAAGTGAATGATATCTGTGGGTGCACGTTTTTCAATATCCGAACTCTAATTTTCAATAGATCTTGAAAGTATGGTGTTATCCATGATGGCTGGGCAAAAGTTCTTTATTCTATTTCTTGACTCACCGCTGTCCAAGAATGGGATTTAAAGACTTTAGTCGTTGATCATTCCTTCTAGAGGTGCATCTCCTACTCCTATTCAGAATCGTTGTGTCCATTTGAACACTATACAATGACTTGCCTTAGCCAGCCAATATACGCTCCAGTGCTTCGATCACTTCGGAGAGGTAGGTTACCAATTACCCGGCCACGGAAGTTAGAACTCTTGCTGACTGGGTGGATACCAGAAAGGGCTTTGATCGCTGGGTCACGCGTGTTTTGATACGCCTTAAGACAACCACCTTATCTACTCCTCTGCAGGCGAGCACAAGAACATTTGGCATTTGTGCTCATAATGATATGCAATCTATGAAGTGAATCTTCTTGGTCTTGAACACTTGAGTGCTTCCAGCCTTGGTGAACAAGCTGAACCTTTGAAATGGTTCAACCGACATCAGAGGAAGTTAAGCGATTTTCGTGATTGCACGGGTTTACCTTAAAAGAGAACCACATGTCTCCAAGATTTGTAACGCTAGAAGCAGCTAACCTTTTACCTTTTAAGGGATCATAATTTGCCTCTTTCCTTTCCTCGTCATTTATTTTCGCTTCATGTTCGCCTTTGGGGGCAAGGATACAAAACAGGTCCTTAAGCGTCGCACACGTCATCGGGGACAGATGTTCTCCGAGAGAAATAGATAAATTAGCTCTCTCAACAACCATCACCATAATTTACTATCGACAAACTATCACACGTTGCAGATTATCTGTCGTAAGGGGGTCCCATGGGTATATGTCCTTGTGCCGGCCCCTCCCATCGAGCCGCCCATTCAACGCGGTCTGTGAAATGGACAACTCGTCCAGGGGGTCCAACCTCTCAACCATGATCGATCGAGCCGTGCATCAGCTGGATGGGCTTAGCTGATTAACATGATTAGGACTGTGAATCACCTGGACGAGTTGTCCATCTCAGAAACCGTGTGGAATGAGCGGCGCGACGCGAGGGGCTGCGCGAACGACCGCCTTCCGGTCCCATCCATCGTTCATTGTAGGTACGCCCATCTCTCTACATCTGTCGATGCCATCGTGATTGGTTAACGCTTCCTTTACAAGCCTTGGCGACTACCTCAGAAGCGGTAGCCGATCCCGACATGTCGTCCTATTCAGCTTTTTTTACTGGATCAGCTTGTGAAGAACTTTGTCCAACGATGGGAAGTGTTCTAAAATTGTTAACATTTTTAACTTACGATTATTACTTTTTTCAAGGTTTTAAACTTCGTGGTTCCTAAAGACCAACGATATAGAGTAGCCCAGTACCGCTAGAAGAACTCACGACAGATGAAGCTAGATTGAACAGGCTCTATCCATTCTAGAAAGTTTTGAAAGAAGACAGTAAGGGTGTAGTTATGTGGATGTTGATGTTAGTTGTATTAGATACAAGGGTGCATCAAAAGTCCACTATTACTCAACCATGGTCAAGACGTATTCTACCGGCACTTCATCACACGGTGACGTAGGTAAAGCCGGGAACCAAGTTTGTTTACTCAATATGGTAAATTATCCTCTCAAGATCATCAATATTGAGAGTAAAAATAACAAAGCGCTGTGACGAAGGTAACTTAAGCAGCTGATCCCTTGCTCTCTGAGAGCATGGTCGTTGGTTTGAGAAACAGCGACAAACAACCAAAAAGAAATTACAATACCAGGGGCGAACACCGATATAATCATATTTTTACAACAATATCATATCACAACAAAAAAAANAAAAAAAACCTATTTCTCCTCTAAAAGATGAGCCGTAAGCTCAGAAACGGCACTGATTGAACGACTCTTTCGATTTCAATGATAATATTTTTATTTGTTCGATTATTTTTGTCATTTGCCACAGGATCCTATAGCGAATGTGGAACAATAAGTTTCACCTAATGGTAAGTAAAAACAAATAAGCCTGCTCATGATACCTTATCAAAAAACGCCCAGGTCAAGAGTACCGTAATCATTAAGTAACAAATACGTAGAGCTCAACAGAAAAATCGCTTTTTTACATTGAAGTGTTTGTGGGAAGTGAGAACTTGGTCGCCCTTCTCTAAAAATAAATAGAAAGTGTACGAACAAAACAATAAATAAGGCATCTAAATCGAATCGAGTAAATCGAAAAATACTGGGATCATTGTTCGGTTATTTACGTATTCGAATTCTGAAAAATTCTTTACAACCCTTTTTAACTTTGAAGTTAATGTTTTCGAATGAAATGGGTGATTTTCAGGAGACTCGCGCTCTACAGTATGCCGTGCCAGCGAACTGCCTACTACTCGCGGCATTATCATTACTGATACCGGCTGGACCGTTATCAGCAGCTATGATGTTGGATGCATTCCTTTTGGCAATGGCCGCTATCGGAATTAGCGGTCATGCAGCTGTACTCATTGTACCGAATATGGCCATCAAGGTAGGACATCAACTGCTGTGTATATGCTTCTGGGAAAAAGGGAAAATGGTCGATTGTTTATGGTTTCAGATTCTTCTTCTGCTCATTATGTTGTTCATAGGGTGCGTATCCATTGATACATTTCATGCTCACTACATCAAGGAGGCGGTCGGTATTGTTGGAGAACCTGAGGTGACTATTACCCTTTCCTTTTTGTTTGTTTCAAGCTGAAACCTGTGCGATGACGATTAGAAATGTGAAGATATGATGATTAGGAAAGCTATTTGCAGTATCTAAAAAAAACAAAACTGTGATACACTTTGAAAAGGTAAACGGAGGATTCAAAACTTTTCAAAACTGTTCTCTAAATTTCTACAAACCAAGCCACCGAGCCCTCTCTCAGTGAGAGAGCGCAGACAATCAAAAAGTGAATGATGTGCCCGACAAGCGCATGATGTCAAGTCTTTTGCCACACACCCAAAAGGAACTCACAATAAATGATCGGGCAGTCTTGCATTTGTGCAATGTCACCCTTCTCGTTGTAAATCCCTTACTCTATCGATGGATAGATGTAACCTTGACTTTGGGTCGGAGGGTTCGATTCGAATATTTCTATTACCAAAAACTAGAATAGAACTGCCCCTCTGCTTCACCTCATCGACCGACAGTTCTTTCGCTCTCAATCCAAATACGGAAATTCAGTCTTTCCATACAAAAACATTTCTGATCCACTAGATTACGGTAGCTTTTTTCAGGTACTAACTCAGTCACCGGTGTCATTATGGCGTAGTGTTGTTCATAATTATCCATCTCTACCGCTATGGATTATTGCATTTGTACTCATCATTATTGTTGAAATTAGGTAATAGTTATTGTTAATCGTTTACATTTCTGGTATTCTCTAACGTTTACTTTTCTGGTATTCTTATCTCCTTTTTAAGAAATATTTCCCCCTGCAGTTTTCTATTTAAAAAGTGCTTTCAACTTTTCAAGGTCGTGCGCCTTACGATAGCAATTTGGTGTAAATCCCCTCCCTCTCCCTCCTCCCCACCCATTCTGTTCGAAACTTCTTCATGAAACTACAGAGATGTATGTCATGGTCATATCATTTTGTGACCAAATCATGACGTCACAGGAGAACAGTGTAGTGGTTTATGGAGTAAAGGAGTAGAATTAAGTCAATAGATGGAAACGACACAATCTGTTGCTTATCGAGGCAATCGAGCTCTTCAGAGTGGTGGGATACTTGAGCAGGTACCATTCAGTAGTGAATGAGAAGTGTATGTCACCGGCAAAGTGTTGAGGACTGATCATAGTGATCGACTGCGAAAGACTGAAGCTAGATCGAAAGTCAGCAGAATGATGCGTAAAATGATGGGATGGTTCAAAAAAGGGATATCTTTCACGAAAGCTGCCCACTTCCCTGTACCTGTTTTGGGATTTGCATAGAATAGGATGAGCTTTGATCTGCCTCACCTTTGTAGGCATGCTACAATTCCCCAGCTAGCACCAGCACGAGCCCACCAGTTGTTCTCAATGTTGCAAAATTGTTTGTTTACTTTGATTTTAACTCAAAATCAATCTTTTTGAGTGCCACATTTCCGATTAAGCCAGAGAGCTGATTCAAGCCTATTTAGGTTGTTTTTTTGCGCATGGTACAGAATCGCGTTCAGCAGTTATGAAGGAGATGTCAAAGACATTGAAAGGGTGAGTGAAATGTTTTGCCCCTTCGCTTGGAGCTGGTCCCCTTTTCCTAGTCCATTTACCCATGACCTGATCTAGGACTGAGGAGACTTAACAAAACAGTCCTTTTACTGGAAAAGCTTATTCTGGAATAGGTGTTGGACTACGGCACATTTCTCTTCGACTTTAATTTCTCTATGAACTCTATCTGGTTGATTTGCGAATACAGGTGTCAGTAGTTATTTTACAGCTTATCTAGTTTTTCCCAGGTCCTCTGCCAGTCTGATTGATCTCCTTTTTGCACCTCAATGTTTCGAGTTCAAACTTGAGCTCTGACCATTTCAAGCAGTTTCCCTTATTTCCTTTACTCCCCCCCCCCTCCTTCCCCCACTTGTGAAGTACTTTTGTTCGACGGTAATTTTATTTTTTGCAGGAAGTAGTCAGTGTTAAATCTAAATTTATATCTCTAATTTCAGCGCCCTCCATCGTATGCCTACTGTATTTCCCATTCCACTCCCTCGGTATGTGTTTCTGCAGACGAATTGCCGTCATATGAAGAAGCAATACGTCGAAGCAGTGTCCCAAAGCCGTCAAACTCGTCCACACCTCTGCCTCGATCCAGTCAACAACCGTGTTGTTCGACGTCGTCGAAGTCAGCTCCACAGACGACGGCAAATGCCACCACCACCACCACGTCATCATCGTCATCTCGGCGAACTCCTTGGCTGATGAAGTCGAAAACGTTTCAACGTCATTTAAATCCATCGGCTTCGACTGAGTCTATCCAGCGTCAAGTCGACAAAATAATGGCAACGATGCCAGTTCCAGAAGACGTTGCCAAATTGCAACGATCGTGGAAATTACAACAGGATGTGACGATTCAGGTGGATCATCCCCAAAGCGACATTCAACGATGTGAGTACTTTTGTTTTTTTTTCTCCATTATTTGGTTTAATAGACCTTCGTCTCTTCAAAATCATAGATTCTTTTCCTTTCAATTTCCGGGGTGGGGAATAGGTTGGATAGTAGAATAGCTGAGAAGTTAATGGGAAAAGAGAGGCAAAACACGAGTATAACAGCTGAGTATATAAGTAAGCTCGGCGCAGTTTTTAATAGTAAGCTAACTGAAACGTAGAGTTAGAGAATGTCAAACCACTACCGGGAGGATCCTTCCGGGTTACGCTCAGAATTCAGAATTCAACATCAACTAACCATGTAATCTCCCGAGTACGTAGGTAATAGTAGTATCGTGAGAGTGGACTGGACGAGTTTCACGGTCACTAGACTAAGACAAAAAATTTTTTAAAGCGATTCAATTCATCATTCACCTTTGACAAAACATGATTTCAGGACGTTTCTGCTACCTCATCGGAATCGAATTTCTTCCATTTCTCCTTCAAGGAGAAAAAGTCTGTACAAATGTAAATAATAAATATTTCTATGCTGTGGCTCCTTATTTCCCTTCTTTGCTTGAAAATGACCTTTAGTTGCAATTAATAATACAAACTACCCTTCCGCACTACAATTTTCCGGTCACTTATTGCCCACCAGTTACCGGGTCTTGAGTGGAGGTGGTGCAGTGGCAAGGAGTGCGTTGTCACACACGCATGGTCACGGGTTCGAATCCTAGACCGTTATCTGTAGATCTATTGTATAGGCGGCGGCGGGCGACATTTTTATTTGCCGTGGACGGATTTTATGCCTCAGAAAAAGGCTAGTCACTCACGGAAAAGCAAAAAATGGCGTACAGGTTCAAATTTCTGCTCCACTGCCCTCGAAACAAGTTGTTCGCTCCCTTTAGCTACATTATCTCACTACTCAGTGAATGCCGATCTCTCGGAGGCACTCATAGCCAATTTTATTTTGAGTGCTTCCCCGCGCTCGGCTTCATTGAGACCAGTTGCTCCCTTCTTTGCTTGAACTTCGAAAATCCGCATTCATTCCGCAGTACGGCGGTTACCAAATTTGATACGGAAGATGAGGAATGCAACGCTGGACCCCCCGAAAGCTGTAGGGAAGCGAACAATTGTGGGAAGGGCGTCATTCCAAGAAAACCTAACTTTTTCCATTCTCAACACAACCTCAAATCTCATCCTCAAAAAGTTTCATTGTTTGACATCTTTGAATTCAAAGGCTATTCCTACCGCAAACCGCCTTCTGAGGCAAATACATAGTTGACAATTTTGAGCACAGTAGGCGACAATTTATTGATATTTTTGCTGTTCATTTCAACTTCAGTGCAACTTGGTCGCCAGAATCAAATTCATTCTGGCAATTATTGGACAGAAACGGTAGGTAACTTCTATATACACACAACACACAGAATGGAAATACAAAGAGACACCTACTAAACTGAAGGGTCCGCATACAAATGGACAATAAACTATTTTATCACAATTCTACTTGTATAGAGTAATACTACAAGATGACATACAACGGTGAATCAGGATACGGTAATGAAAAGCAAGACCTTAACACTCAAATGGTACTGATGGTGTGATAAGACTGAACTAGAGGTTACTGGTCAGCATGTGCCACTGCAGTCGGCCGCTGAAACTGGGTTGGTCAATAGTATCAGGACCCTTCATCTTTCGTACGGTAGGAACGAAACGGCTGACCAACATCGTTCTGACGCGCCTATGGCAATGGTGTGATCGACCAGTACGGAAAATCGGGATTCCCGTGAACTTCACACTTGAAGGCTTCTGACCAAGATCAACCTGATTCGTACAACTTTGTTCATGAGGAATTATGTGATAGACAGGTCTATAATCTCAAAACGGATCCAAATAATTGATTAGAGCTATTCAGCCTCATATTCCACACCCATCATCTTACCCAAATAGTACTTACGTGGTGCTGGTTCAACCATTTGAACGTGAAAACTCGTACACAAAATTCTTTGCATTACCGTAATCGCTACAGTGACGGTCAAAAATGAAATCCTGCCAAGAATATCGGTCGGAAGAGAGAGAGGATCACATGCAGAATAAATCATTATGGAAACGACAAGCTGATATAAATACACGAAGAAAAAGTTGAAGACATAATTCTAGATAGATGCCGTCAAGTAAGACAAGATCTTAAGATTTCTTCACTTTAACTGGTCCAAGTGGATCAACGTGATCCTCGTCGAGGGACTGCATTTCATACCCGAAGAAACCATCTGCTTTTACCATAGAGATCTAAAAATTGTAGAAGAAATTTTTATCTTTGGCAATCTTCTAAAAATTTATCAAGAGCAAAGGAGTGCTAAGACATTGACATTCGTGTTTGATTTGTAAGAGATGCGAGACCAGAAAAGGGTCCCTGAAGCCTATTGGGGCTCCACGAACTTAATTCAGGCGATTTACTGGAAACTCTCCCGAACGTCAAGGAAATGCATCTCAACAAACGAATGTGCGATGTTTTCGAGACATCTAAACTGAGGTCCTCATTGGAAGGCACTGGCCTAACCATAAGGTACTCGAAAGGTATATAACGTAAAGGGCTTTACACTTTGAGGATAATTATGATAAAAATTTTGAAGTTCCTACGAAAACGAACTCACCGTCAAATGCGTATTGTGATAGGTGAGGAATGCAAGACCACAAGTGAGAAAAACTCTCAAAGGCAAAGGGCAATTCTCATCTTTGTAAAGCATCACATAAAGAAGGTACGTTACCGGCACATGTCTGGAAAGACAAACAAAGTTTTTGCGAGAAAATTTTCATCGACACGGTTTCATCGCCATGAGACTTTCTCAAACAAATTTACAACAAGCTCATATTTCGACATATTTACTTATTTCTAAACTATGCTGTGGTGACTTTCGCAGGTTTCCTTTGCAGCAACTTGGGAAAACACCCAGATTCAAAACTTTGAGCTGACCTGAACAGGAACAAGCACGCCATGTTGGCATTGATCAATGCATTGTAAGCGGGTGAACGCTTCTTGGCGTATCCCGTCAAACGGATCATTGTACGTAGATGCAAGAAAATTGTCTGTACCTGAAAATCAACAGTAGTAGCTCTGAACTAAAGAACTGGGACTTACAATAAGAAACAACGCTGACGAAGAAATTAATTTGGTAATTCTATAAATAATTCTATAATTCTATAAATACATCTGGAAGTATTTATTTACCTCCACGAGAAGACCGATCATTGCAAACCCGAATAATTTGCCCGTGTACAGTATTATGGAAAATGCCGTCAGTACCTGGAAAGCTTCATCATTATGGAATCAGTTATGATGACTTCTGGTCATAGAATAAAGGCGGCGGTATTCCGATATGACCGTCATTGAGCAATAGCTTGCCCCACATAATAGTCATGGGATAGCGCAGACGTTGATGTTTCACGAAAACTAATGGATTTACTGTAAGGATGCAAATGCACAGTGTTGGCCCTTCTAACGGGTAGGTGTGAGTATTAAGCCTCTAGGATGTCGTTGTACATCAAGAAATCAAAGATCATGTGGGCCGGGCACTTCCTGCGATATAGTGATGACCGTTGGACCAGGGCGGTTACTGACTAGATCCCNNNNAATGGAAATGCAAATAGACGCCAACTCAACTGAAGGGTCCGCATACAAATGGACAATAAACTATTNGTCATAGAATAAAGGCGGCGGTATTCCGATATGACCGTCATTGAGCAATAGCTTGCCCCACATAATAGTCATGGGATAGCGCAGACGTTGATGTTTCACGAAAACTAATGGATTTACTGTAAGGATGCAAATGCACAGTGTTGGCCCTTCTAACGGGTAGGTGTGAGTATTAAGCCTCTAGGATGTCGTTGTACATCAAGAAATCAAAGATCATGTGGGCCGGGCACTTCCTGCGATATAGTGATGACCGTTGGACCAGGGCGGTTACTGACTAGATCCCGCGAACGGACACCAGAACGACCGCCAGCGCGGTGGTCAGAATTCTTCACGGAGGCTCTGGACGAGGAGAATGGTTTGCCATGCGTCTCTCGAATGAGGACGATTCACTGGACTGCTCGTCAAAACTGGCATTCCTGAGCTTCCACATGTCAACCTAGGGGAAGGCAGGGAATATGAAAAGTCTCGGTCAGCTGAGACTCGGAATTGTGAAGTAAGCAAGGGTGATTGAACGCTTCCTTGATTGACAGGAAAAATAAGTAACTCACAAGCGAGTGATGAATGAAATATTCTTTTGAGTAAGGCGCTTCGCCATGAATGTACATATCCGTCATATCATATATAAAGTATCCTGAAATTTGCTTTGATATGTACTGTAGGAACTGGTGGGCGGAAATAGAGTGGAATGAATATAGGAAAGAGGATAAACACTGAGAGAAATTGAGAAAAAAAAATCAATTAGAGTTGGAACTAACCCATTGAAAATAAAAATATGTACTGTGCTGAATACGTGGAGTAGTCGTAGGGTTCTTTTACATATTCGGAGTCAGATAAAAGGCTAAAATGGGAAAGTAAAATGGGGGTGATCGTAAAACAAGAGAGTCGAGGAATGGTATAATAAGAGAAAAGAGTAAAAGTAATGACCCATTCATTACCTGCACAAGCATCCTATCGATGATAGTGTAGCGTGAGTCAGAGAAATTACACGTGCGGAGAAGATACGTATCTGGAAATATTCACTGAATTAAGCCCTCAGCGTCTAGCTATGCTCAAGGGACTCCAGCCCCCCAGCGCTGGAGAGCTAAGGTAGTCATTTGAGAAGGCAAATAACCCTTCCACTTTCGATGGACGCTACTTCTACTCCCTGAAGGGCCACTTCGCGCAGCACTATGATCTTCTAGCTCTCTCGCCCCTGCACTCGCCTGCCCCTCCGAAATTGGGCGTTTTTTTTGTGGCATAGTTAACTTTAAACTGAAGGTATTCGCGAGGCTGTGGAAGTGACTGGAAAGAAGGTGCCTATGGGCAGCTTCCAGATAGTAATTACTATACGATGTTCGTTTTTTTTTTTTGATGATTCGTTTTGAATCCGGATAGCACAGGTATGAATAGGTTTGAGTAGCGCCCGAGGCTGAAGTTTTGTTCATAACTCGCCAACCTTGTGAGAATTACTATACTGTTCTTGTCAAGCATTACCAATTTTCCCCTCACCTTGTTCTCCGACCAATCACGTGCCTTCGCTCTGACTACGGCTGCGGCCAGTAAGTACTCCAATCGAAGTACCACAGAAACTCCGAAAAGGAAGAACAGCCGGAACATGACCCTAAAATATACTATTTGAAAAGTAGAAGAAGACGTTCAAGCGGTTTTTCGATGGCACGATAATCTGCTGATAATGATGCATATTTCAAATACTTCAGCAACTGAGAGATTGTAGTTATTCACGTCAAAACAACATGAACAAACTGTGTACACGGACTTCTTTCAAGCAATACTGCCCGTTTGTGACAAAAAAAGGAAACACGGAAATCAATTGATTTCTCTGAACTAGGATGAAAGAGACAAACCAGTTGTAAGACATGATGTGGGAACTGTTTTGATAAATCAGTTACGAGCTTTAATCGAAAGAGTAAGCGACCGGAATGTCTGGTGAGAGGTCGGAAATATCCAGTTTGCAAGATTTAGGCACCTTGGACAGACTTGTCATAGCCATCAGCAAAAACGAGAGCACTCAAGTGACAGGCTGTCGGAAGCGATAAGGACAAATACCCGAGAGGGTTTGTCAGGCTAATGTTTTCATGCGCGTGATAAAATCATCGAGACATAAGATTCCACAAAATGAATAGAAAAAGTGTTTCTCATTTTAATGCAAATCGTAACTTTCTAATGCAAGGGTATTTTTCCATGGAAAAAGGAGTCCCAAACAGTACTTTCCTATGGTCCTTCTGTCCTTCTGATATGAAGAATCTATTATGGGTGACCAAAACAGAGGGAAATCAAAAATCTGAGGCATACAAGCAGTCAAGAAGAGCCATCGCTGACGCCATTCCAAAACAAGACCGGCGATCTCAGAGATCTTGACACAGCCATTCCTGCCATAGTACCGAACCCCCTCCCCGCAAGTATTTATATGACTATGGGAGGAAGAGCTGAATTTTTTCACATTTTAGCAGTTTCTTAAATTTTAAATAAAAGTCGGAAAACATGAAAAAGAGGGGTTCATCTAAGCGAAAAAATGCCTAGACGAATTCCAACCAAATGCCAAAGCTGATTTGTGACAGAATAGTTCCCGTCAGAACCGTTTAATGCTATCACCCATGCTGAAGTAGTGCCGACATGGTGACCGTCTCAATGCTCCTGCTCCCAATTGGAACTGTCGACTGTCATACAGTTGAGAAGCGCTCAAAGGTATAAATAAAAAATAGAAATGAATACAAACGTGTCGTTCTGCACGTGACTGGAGACAGGATCTGTGGAGCCTGAAAGCATATTGTAGGACTTGTGGAAGGCGGTAATTCGTAAAGATAATTGAAAGTGCTGCTGATTTCTCAATGAAAGCGAGCAAGAATAAGTGGGATGGCTGCCAGTACCTCTCCTCCCCGCCGTCTGATCAAAGAGAAAGAATCGTCTACTATTGAAAATTTGTCCGGCAAACAGAACCACAATTCAAGTTAGTAAGCAAGCACTAGCCAGCAAGATAAGAACTCAGAGCGGGATCACACTTGATCCATCAGGAACGTGATGCTTGAGATCCACTCCCACACAGACCAGATGAGCCTCCCATTTTTACAAAGTGATACAGAAACAATACTCTTGAAAAAACTGTATTTGTATTGTGCATTCTAAGAGTAATAAGCAACAGGATTTGAGCTATTAGTGCTTAATCACATGATTTTGACACTGAGTCTGCTGCAAATTCACGATACTGACATGACAAGTGACATGAGCAAGCACACGGGTAACCTGAGCCTTTTGGTTTTGTCGCAAGTGCCCCCACCCCCTTGCACAGTTGAGGTGAGAGAATTCAGTAACGAATCAATTGAAAAGATGGATCGAGCAGTCGTATCAGGGCCATGGCCGTCGTACTGCACTGCTCTTCTAGATTTTAAAAAGGGACTCCCATGCTGGTACTCTCGCACTCAGACAAATGCTCAAAGCTTCGATGTGAAGTGGAAAGCTTCAATTTTTATCACAGCAAATCCTGATCAGAGCAAGACTCGAGTTCACCGCATGGTATAAACTTACTAGGAGTATCATTAGCAGTAACAATCGCCCATTTTCTCGAAGACATCCAGTGAAAGTGAATCACCGTCAGGATCATTTATCTCTGTCGAGATAGTAGATCCATGATGGTAAGAATAGTAACAACAAATTACCTTTGAACTATTAATTACTTCATGGTCGTGGAGGAAAGAGCGATGTTAAGAAGAGCACGGTCATCCTTGCGCCATTAAAGTATGGCAAAGGGAGCAAATTCTTTCTGCAGCAGAAATCGTATCCGAATGTTCAAGAGGATGAGTACTGGTGAAAATAGCTTCATTATTCTATCGGTGAGTTTGTTTCGACTAGTTCATAAACGACTCAAAACAGGAATGGCCAACTAGTTGCTGAGGGGCCATTGCCAACTACCACTCCATGACCATCGTCCACACACCCTGCCTGCCTGCATCGTCCACACACCCTGCCGTTCTCTGCTTTCAATGCTTACAACTCAACATCTGTATGCCCAGTACACTTTGGACGCTTCGCTCCTCTCCAGTGAAGTTCCGACAGAAGCGCTACTTCGTACTGAAAAGAGCGGAACCTATTCTCACTCCCTCGAACATATAAGCCGGTCGATGAACCTTGCAATATCCAGATTGTCAGAAAGAGCTGATTTTCTGATCTATACCAAGAGATATTATTATACCTGTGATACTTCTTTTGCCTGCAGCATCTTTTCTCAGAGTGATGCAGAATGGAGTAATAACCATGAAGCTAAGGAAAGGGTACTATGTAGGACCCCACTGATCTGTTGAACACACTTTCTTCCCAGAAGGCGCTGCGGTACAAGTTAAAATTCTACCTGAACCAGTTTATCTTCCTCATTGCTCAGCTCTTCTTGTAAACCCTCTTGAATGGCCTTCCCATTATAATGATTGTTCAGAATAAGAAACTCTCGGCAAACTCTCTCATGTTACTAGCCCTACGAGCTTCCCCAGACGAAACATGTTGTTTACATTAATTAAACAAGTGAACAAGGTCAAATTCTACACGTGTTTCTGGTCAAAAGCCAATAAAACCTACGGGAAAGGAAGCACTGCGAAAAAGTTCTGTTGACCTGGAGGGTAACGTCCACTTATCAGATGTTCCTTCTTGGACAACAGAAAAACTTGGATGGTCAAAGACCCCAGCTGATGACATTTGACTTTGATTGATATCTGACCGAAACTGGAAGTTGCTAGAGTGATCATAATTTTGATTATGATTGATTGGGTATCGAATAACCGTCAAAAAGTGTAGTTATGAAATAAACTTTGTCTAATGCCAAAGACGCCCAGAAGTTTTTCCGGTCTTCTGATTGGGTTGGGCACTATCCCCCGATGAAGACATATACTAGAAACGAATAGGGCCTCTAAGCAAAGTTCCAGAAGATCTATATTATATTTCATAAGAGCCTTCTCGGCACCATAAATTAGCTTCGTCATTAAAATCCTTTTGCCGAACGGACCAATGCGTACCATAGTTAAGAGATTTATGTCTTAAGTGAAATAATACATAAACATCCACCGTGACTCATTTGTAAATATTTCAAAAATGAAGCGGTCTAGGAAGCAGGGGTGAGCAATTTCTATATATCCGTCTTGCTCTATTGCTAACTATCTTTTTTTGTACGAGTTCTTCAAAAAAAAAAAAATAATAAATGGAATGTCATTGACGGAAGCTTCAGCAGAATAATCAGAGGATTCTATCGTGGAAATATGCCGAAGCAGTAACATCATTTCTTTGACGTTATTAGCTTATCAAATTTATTATAGCCGACATAGAAGTTGGTCAAAGCCGGATGAGATTTCGAAGCAAAAGCACCACGTCTTCAGTACCGGTTAAACTGATTTGACTTCATGTATCCCCATTTAAGAAATCTCAATATTAATATCACCTTATATTAAAAATATTGAGATATAAACTATATATATATAAAGTTATATTTGTAAAAAAAACACGAAATAAAAACGCATAAGTAATAAATATATACCTCAATATAACATCAGATGTGAACTATCCCAATATGTATTAATTACTTCCGGCCCGATAAAATTTTCAAGCTATTTTTCCTCTTGGGCTAGCCGTTCAAACTCGAAATATTACAGACGTAAGAAACGACATAAAACACAAAATACGATAGATAACTGCTTGGATGTAAAACGCTGAGAACAAAGACCGTTATCATGGAAAAAATCATTCCACCATGATATTCCTTCGTCATATCAGACCACTGCAGATACCGCCATGCTCCTACGGAACATCATTTTCAGTACGTGCATACCTGTTTGATAAACATGAAATGGTAGAATGAAAACGAGAAAAGGAGGAGATTAAAAGGAGTGAGCATGTAGGTGGAAGGCATACTGGGGACCGGGAAGAAAAAAGAGACAAATCAAGGTACATATTAAAGACATTAATATCTAGCAAACTCAAATTCAAACGATATTTCAAGATGAAATTCCATGTGACTTCTTGTTCCCTTGGTTGGAAGATTCTTTTTCAACTTTGTAGGGAAAACTTTTCTTTCTCACAGCCGGGATGAGAATAGTGGTGTCATATTCAATGTGATTACGTAGAATTCCAGTAAATGTGGCCCCAGAATCCACACTCTGAAGCAAACTTTAAACCTTCTGCCGACATTCTATCAAGTGCTCATGAATGATTTAGTAGATACCATGTTCTATAACATGCGACAGACGCCTATTTTCACTACCGTAGTAGGAGTAAATTTAATCTTGAGGCCCTAGACATCACCAGGTAGAAGCGGTACTTATGCCNACGTGCGTTACCCTCTTTATGGTTCACACAATCAGAAGGATCATTTTCTGTCCGGGTTGCCTAGTTTTCACCCCTGTTTATGCACTATGGACCAGGCTTTCGACTAAAACTTCATTAGGATACCATCCGAAGAATTTCATTGATATGAAGGCAACTGGTTAAAGAATCCGAAAGACTGATTAACATCGAGATGTTGATTCCTTCCTTGAACAGCACATACCACCCATATTCACATAGTCCACAAAAACGCTAAGATTAAAGGAGCATTTTAATTTTCCCAGTAAAGGCTCAAATCT